GTTTCATTTATTTTTGTTTTGTTTTTTAAATGAATCTGTCAACTCTGAAAAACTAGGAGACTTCACATACAAATCAGGATTTCTGTCTTTCTTGAGAATTCAGAATGTGACAAAGTTTAACTGGCGCAAACAGCTTCCTCTAGAAAGCTCACTCTGTCCTCCCTACTGTCACCATTCAGAACCCGCATTCATCTTACCCGCTGGCCCCTGCAGCTGGCCTGTTATTCAACACACACAGGAGCCCCGGGCCTTCAAAAGCCATAATGAGGCCCTGCTGGAGGCATGTCAGGTCACTCTCCAGGTTAAGAGGCCAAGTTTTGCAGTCAGACTGCCTGAGTCCAAAGGCCAAACTCTACCCAAACCAAACCATGTGCGATCTTGGGGAAGTAGCATTGCTTCTTTGTTCCCACTTCTGTAATATCACCTACCTTTTTTTTTTCCCCAATGGTTTTAATTCACAGACAGTAAAATTGACTTTTTCGGGCATGCAATTCTGAGTTTTAACACATGTACAGATTCATAAAACAAACTTTGCAAACAGAATACGGAACAAACAATTCCTTCTCCTTCAGAATTAACCCTATGCTTTATATCAAACCCTCCCTCCCTCCAGTCACTGATTTGTTTCCTGTCTCTGTAATTCTGCCTTTCCCAGTTTTTTTTTTTTTTCAGTTGTTGCTGTTTTTAGGATGAAGTAGTGTTTCGTCAGTCATGCACATTTCATCATGATCCCTGGCATGCTGTGTCTTCCTGCAAGTAGCTCCATGGACAACAGACCCGACCAAGCCCCATGATGCATTTGGGCTCAGCTCCGGGGCAACAGAACAAGAGTTACTCAGCATTTCTCACCACTTTTCAGGCTTCTCTACCCCCGGGATATGTCTATCAATCAGTAACTGATCCCCCCTTTAAGTAAATGAAATCCCAGCTCATAAGATGCCCACATTTCCAGTACTTTTCGTTCCACCAACAATGAGTGTGTATAGTGAAATGAACTAGCGGGAAGCTTGGAGTCCATCACTCCCACCCACTGAAATACAAGGCAGGAAGAACTCTTCATCCCTAAAAGGTCCCAAGCCAGACCAAACGAGTCCCAAGGAGACCCAAGGACTGCCTGCTGGGGAGAGAAGCTCGTTCTTGCCAAGCATGACTGGCAGAGAGGAAAGTCATCCTCAGATGCCTCCAGACAGCCATGTGGGAGGAGAGGTAGCAGGAAGGTGTGAGAAAGCAAACCGTGCTGCTTAGAACGATGGAAGTTCCCCAGGTCAGCAAACCAGTCACCTTTCACTTAAGGGGAGAATTCCCACCAGTTCATCTGAATTGGCTCCCAGTTCACCTTTTCACCTTGACTGCCCAACAGGTGAGCCTTTGACCCACTGGCCTCCGTGGAAAACCGAGGCTGTCCTGCAGCCTTGCTGCCTCTGGTTCTGTGATCGTGGGCGCCCCGATCCTGCCCTCCGGACCCTGGTTTATTCCACCATAAAAATGGCACTGTACACAAGACGGACTGAGGCACTGCCCTTCCCATCCCGAAACCCTCTACGTTCCAGGCTTCCGGGCAACATGCTGCCCTGCAGTTCCTTTCTCTTGGTCCATTGTTTTCTTCCCAGTCTCCTGTGCTGGCTTCTTTCCTCTCCCTGATTTCTACACACTTAAGTTGCAAGGCTCCCAATCTTTTGCAGTGCTCTAGCCCAGGGTCTCTCAACCTTAGCACTACTATTTGGGCCAGATAATCCTTTGTTTTAGGAGGCTGTCCTGAGCTCTGTAACTTCTACCTACTAGAAACCAACAGCACTCCCAAAAATGTCTCCAGACATTGCCAAATGTCCCCAGGGAGGCAAAATCACACCACAGACACTCCCACTGAGAACTACCCCTCTAAACCAAATCTCATGTATAATCAAGATGCACAGAACTGACCTCCTGCTGCTATCTGGCCGCAGGCACCCTGGCTCATGCCTCCAACTTCTCTGGTAGGTAGACCTAGGGTCTACCAGGCATCTCAAACTTATAGACTCTAACCTGGCCTCCTGACTCCCTCCCACATCTGCCACACACAGATCTGCCTGCACAATTACTGGCACAACCACTGTCCAGTAACTAAAGCCACAAAGCCCTGGCGTTATCCCTGGCTCCTTGCTTTCTCTCAACAGCCCACATCCAATCCCCAGCAAATCCTGCTGGCTCCACCTTCAAAGGCTAGCCAGAAGCCAACCACTTCTATCCACAGCCCAGTTACCACCAGGTCTGGGCCACCCTCGGCTTGCACCTGAATTATCCCAACAGTATCCCAACGGCTCTTCCCACTTCTCCCCTTCTCACCCCAACTCCATATGCTGTTATTGTTGTTGGGTGCCATCAAGTCGGTTCTGACTCACAGCAACCCATGTACAACAGAACAAAACACCGCCTGGTCCTGCACCACCCCCACAATCGTAGCTATGCTTGCACCCACTGTGTCTAAGCATCTCTGTGAGGGTCTTCCTCTTTGTCACCGACCCGCTACTTTACCAAGCATGACAGCCTCTCTAAGGACCAGCCCTCCTAATAACATAATAACGAAGTCTCCCCATCCTTGATTCTAGGGAGCACTCCAGCTGTACTTCTTCCAAGTCTATACAGAGCAGGGTTTCTCAACCCTGATGTTTGGGACCAGATAATTCTTTGTAGTGGGGGACTGTCCTGAGTCCTGGAGAATGAGTTAGCAGCATCCCTGGCCTCAATCAACTAGATGCCAGTTGTAACCCCCAACCCCAGTTATGCTTAAGACAAATGTCTGCAGACATTGACAAATGTCCTGAGGGCAAAACCATCGCCTGTTAATAACCACTGACGCAGACTATATTCTCAGCATGACAGCCAGCATGGTGGTTCTATTTAGTGAGTTCACATCCCCTGTACTCAAACTCCTCTGAAACAGGATCTGCAGGGCCCCTACTCTTGCTGACACCATCTCCAAGCCCTCTCCCTCCAACTCACTACACACCAACTTAGTTCTTACTCTAGAACCTTTCAAACTCTTGATCCTTTCTTCTAGGATGATCTTCCTCCAGACACTGCCATGGCTGGTTTTTCAAAACCATGTAAATCTCAGCTCAAATGTCCCATCCTCAAAGAGGTCCTCACGATTCCCATGACTCATGGCCTTCACCCCATCCTGCCCTTCACTGTCCCAATATGACGGCAACACCTTTTGCCCCCAACAGCTTCCATCACCGAGTGAATGCCTAGGTTATTAACTAAGATCACTGTCTCGCCCTCTCTAGAACCCAAGCTCGAGACCAGCAAGGGCCTTACATGAGCTGCTCACCACTCTACAGCCGCCCACGCCTAGAACAGGACACAGCACATGACAGATGCTCAACAGCAATTGGGGGTCATGGGGTGAATCTTCAAATAATAACTGCATACTTGGTTACTTAACATTTCCAGAACCAATTTTTGCTGGAGACTTTGGCCTCAGGCACTACTTTTTAAACTAAAACCCAATAGGTTAAAATAATAATAATGCAGGGGCTGAAGTCCAGCACTAAAAAAAAAAAAAAAAAAAGGAGACAATTAAGAAAACAATGTATCATACATTGGTGAGTAACCACAGGGGTCTTAAAAGCTTTCCAGCAGCCATCTAAGATACAGCTAAATGGTCTCCTATGGTCAGAAGCAAGGAAGAAAACAATGGGCATTTGGAAACAATCAGCCCTAGGACATGATGGACCTCAAGACCAGAAGAACTAGATGGTGCCTAGCTACCCACTCAGGAAAGGATCAAAACTGGAGATCCGGATAGATTGAAGGAGAAACATGGAACAAAATCCAAAAACACAATAATGACAAGAATTACTGGTTGGAAGAAGTCTGGTGGGACCCCCCCAATACTATGGCTGCGGGATATACATTGGGCCTGGGATAAAACTCACTCCCAAGGACTGGCTCTCAGCACAACAGTAAATAAGATGTACACGCAGACCACTCAACCCAGGGCAATACACTCACATAGTGTACAGAGATACATCCCTTGGAACAATCAGCCATGGGGCACCAGAGGGGCAACATTCACGCGGAGGAAAAGCCTGACCAAAGGAGTGCATAACTATGAAGGCACGGAGGTGGGGGAATTACTGGGCAGGGGGGGAGGAGAGTGGGTTAGGGCTGGGGATGGTAACTGGGGAATCAAACCAAATGTACATGAAATGCTGCATGTAAAACAAACTCTGCTCGTAAATGTGCACCTAAAGCACTATTTGAAAAAAAAAAAAAGAACTGAAGAAGTGAACAAAAAGAACTTGAATATAACACATTGGCCCATATTTATTTATAACGTTTTCAAAACATTGTTTGTTTGGGGTGGGGAGGAACAGTATATCAGAGTAGGCTGCACACAGGAAGGAAAATATTGATCCATGAAAACTTGTTTCCATCCTGTATATGCATTATACACGCAGACCTCAGAGACACTGTAAATAAAGCAAATACTGCAATAAAGCGAGTCACATGAATTTTCTGGTTTCTCTTTGCATATAAAAACATATGTTTACACTACCCTGTAGTCTATTATAGTGTGCTACATTACGAAAAAGTTTAAATATTGTTGAGAATGACCAAAATGGGACAGACACAAAGTGAGCACATGCTATTAGAAAAACGGCACCGACAGACTTACTCAAGGCAGGGTTGCCACAAACCTTCAATCTGCAAAAAGCGTGAAATAAAATGAGGCATGCCTGCATACATTCACATACATGAGAACTGGATTAATGCAGTCAAGGGCGATGAAGGTTGCAAACACCGGCCTAAATAAACCACCTCATGCCAGTGAGCCCCAGGAAATCCCTTACTTGTTCCTATTCCTGATCTCTCCTCACCCTCCCCCACTGGACTCTAAACTTTTTTGCACAAAGAGTTCAAAGTTCAAGAACCACTCCCCCCAAAAATAAGATATCACAACTTGCGAAAATATTTGTAGTTACCACAGAAAGATACTTCCAAAAATTCCGACTGACCAAGGTTAAGGTTCAGGATGCTCCCAGTGGTGCAGGTTTTGTCTGCTTTGGGCATGACCGGCGTTGAGGCTTGGGGAGAGAAAGGTTTCGGGCTACCAGATAAACTCCCGGCTTGGCCCGTCTTGGTCGAGGCTGGTGAAGCTGGAAAAATATGCAACTGTTAAAAAGATTTAGAAACAAACAAACAAAACTTTCAGGTGTAGGGTAGGGGGAGAGTGGAGGAGTTAGGGAACTATATGTGATTTGCACAAAGCCGAGACAGCACCATGGGGGTAGGGAGGGGAGGGTGCAACATTTATTTTAAGCAAAAGGCTTTAATCCAATGTTAAACCGTTAACGCAACAAAGGAAGAAGACCTCTTCAGTTATTCTGGCAAACATAAAGCTCTAAGACAAATCGGCTAAGCTGCCTCTGAGATTGGTTTGGCCCTTTCATGGTATAAATGTGAATGAGCAGTTCAACAGCCCCACCACAGTCCAGATGCCCAGACAGGGAGCCAGCCTTCCAAAAGGCATCTCATCCGTTTGCGGGAAGAGGCAGGGGCCAGCTCACACCAGCCACTTGCACCTGCTTGTAACCAACTTGATCCCCCCCGGGAAATCCCCAGCTTCCCATTTCAAAGGCCCGGCGTTTCTTGTTGTTCAGTGTTGAACGAAGCCAACTCAGCAGTAGATGGAGAAGTGGGCACTCTCCCTCCTTGTTCCTTTCAAATTCTTACAGAAGGAAAAGGAGTTATAATTATGCCCGAGGCTTTTAAAAAATCTCTCCAAACTCACCTCCTCAGCCTTCAGGAGCCCTGGCGGCCCAGTGGTAAAGTGCTCAGCTGCTAACGGAAAGATCAGATATTGAAACCCAGCAGCCACTGTGCGAGAGAAAGACAAAAGCCTTGGAAACCCGATGGGGTAGTTCTACTCTGTCCTGTAGGATTGCTCTGAGTCGGAAAAGACTTGCCGGCAGTAGGTTTGGTTTAGTTTTCTTCGGCCTCCTTTCACTTAGGTGTGAGAAGGGAGTGCAGAAAACCAAACCATGCATCATAACAAAATGTAGCATTAGCATGAGCCCATGAGGGCCTCCGGCAGACCCTGTGCACCCTCGCCCTCACAGCTCCGCATTAACAGGACTTTCTTGTTAATTCCTGAAAATTAACACGTGAAAACAGCTGACTAGGAACAAAATGGCTAATGCTTCTCAGGTGAGCAACACCTACTCTGAGGTGATCTGGTTGTTAAGAGAAAGCAGTTCACCACAAAGGGTTAGAAATCAGGATTTCTGAGGCTGACCAAGAAGACAGGAATCTTGACCCCACACCTGAGACTTCTAAAGTGCCCTAACACTGTGGTGGACAAATGCCTCAGTGCTGTCACCTGTTGACTTGGGATCCTCAAGAGTGAGGATTTAATAGTTAAAACTTGTACACCAGCGCACCCAGTCAATAAACATGGGTTAGTTTGAGGGCCATGCCAAGATTTGCCAATATTTGAAATACAGTGGGTGTACTGGGTTGAAAAGTTTGTGTCCCCCAAGAATTCCTATCCATCTTAGGAATTTAAGGGGAAAAAAAAAGAAAAAGAAAACTCACTGCCGTTGAGTCAATTAGACTCATAGAGACTCCTCCTTGGGTTTCTAAGGTGCTACCTCTACTGAAGCAGATCATCCAGTCTTCTTTGTGAGTGGTGGCTGGTGGGTTTGAACCATCAGCCTTCCAGTTAGCAGTCAATGCCTAAGGTACTAGGCACCAGAACATGACCTTATTTGCAAATGGACCTTTGCAGATGTAATATGGTTGAGTGATACTGAATTAGAATGGGCTCTCAACTTAGTATGACTGGTGTCCTTTATAAGAAGAGGGAAAAGTGGAAAGAGAGACACAGAAAACACATGAAGATGGAGACAGAGACTGAGGTGAAGCCTCTATGAGCCAAGGACTCCAGCAAACACCAATAGCTGAGAGAGTTAGGGGACAGATTCGCCCTCAGAGTCCCCAGGACAAACCAACCTGATCAGATGGCCCCAGAACCGTGAGAGAATATATTTCTATTGTGTTAAGCTTCCCAGTTTGTGACAGTTTGTTGCAGCAGCCCTAAGAAACTAATACAAAAGGAGACATGGTAGCAAAGTGCTTAACCACTCAGCTACTAACCAAAAGGTCAGTGGAGTTCAAACCCACCAGCTGCTCTGAGGAAAAAAGGCAGTTGTCTTCTGTAAGATTTAGTCTTAGAAACCCTATGAGGCAGTTCTTCTCCATCCTACAGGGTTGCTACAAGTCAAAATTTACTCACTGACAATAGGTTTGGTTTACTCTTTATGTATGTTTAGACATAGAGAGGCCCGGATTCAAGCAAAGACTTAAGGGCCAGACATCCTGGGTTTAAGTGCTAACTTTGCAGTTGGACTGCTGTGTAACCCTGGGCAAGTTATCTGAGGCTCTGTACTTCCCTTACCTGACATCCATTAAAATATTGAAAAATAAACATTTTAGAAGGTAGCATGTTGTTGTTTATGTGCCGGCACGTTGTCTCCGACTCATAGCAACCCATGTCCAACAGAACCAAACACTGCCCGGTCCTGCGCCAGCCTCAAGATCCCTACGATGCCTGAGCCCACTGCTGCAGCCACCATGTCAATGCACCTTGTTGAGGGCCTTCCCTTCTTTCGTTGACCCTCCACTTTACCAACTATGGCATCCTTCTCCAAAGAATGATCCCTTCTGACAACATGACCTAAGTAAGTGAGACAAAGTCTGGCCATTCTCGCTTCCAAGGACCATTCTGGCTGCACTTCTTCCAGGACAGATTTGTTAGTTCTTTCAGCAGTCCACGGTACTTTTAGCATTTTTTGCCAACACCACCACTCAAAAGCATCAACTCTTCTTCAGTCTTCCTTATTCATTGTCCAGCTCTCACATATGAGAGCTAAAAACCCGTTAAATAGTGGTTAAGGCTTGGGTTAGGTACATCTCCCAGGAGGTAGCATATGATCAAAAATTAATAGTATTTTTGGTAGTTCAGTCTGTGTGTCAACTTGGCTGGGCCTGGTTGAGTGGCTGGGCAGCTGATGGTAGTTATTCCCCATGATAAGACTGGCAATCACCTCCATGGTGGGATCTACCACAAACAGCCTTTGAGATGTGGTCTTCTTCCTGTATATAAGAAAAACCTTTGGGGATAGTAGCTTGTTTATGGCACACTTGGACCCTGCATGTAGCTGTGTCGTTGTTCAGCAGCCTGCCATGCTCTGCTGACCTGGGGGCTTACAATGGACTTGAATCAATGGCCTGCCATGTGTTTTGGTAACATCAGGACTGTGCCATTTTATTTGTCGACGTTGGGTTTGTCAGCCTCAGCAGCCAGAAGTTGCCTGAGTGAAGAGATCCCTCCAGTTTCAGTGGGCCAGAAACAAGAGGCAGAGCTAAAGCTCAAGGCCAAAGGCCTTTCACCCAGCCCCTAGAGCCTGGCACTCTGAACTCAGACTTAAAGCCTCCAAACTGTAAGAGAATAAACTCCTGTTTGTTAAGGCCATCCCATTTGTGGTATATTCTTCTCAGAGTGGCACTCAGTAACCAGAACAGTACTGAAGGAAGAAGTCCAAGCTGCACTGACGGCACTGGTGAAAAACAAGGATCCAGGAACTGACAGAACACGAACTGAGATGTTTTAACAATGGAAGTGATCTCATGTCTATGCCAAGATATCTGGACGACAGCCACCTGGCCAAGGCACTTGAAGAGATCTGTATTTGTGCCCATTCCAAAGAAAGGTGATCCAAGAGAATGTGGAAATTATTGACTAGTATCACTGGTACTGTTAATAAATGGTACCAGTACCTTTTGGTACATGATTCTTTGAATTCCTCCCCTCTTCTTTTGAAGCTCCCAGTGCTGTTCAATATTCTCCCCATAGTATTGGTCAATATTGCAACTCAAGGCATGATTTTCTCTTCTGTTTTATAAGCATGAGAAATGCCAAACATGTCTCCCGTTTGGGTCTTATAATGCCAGGTCTTAGCACATTTCATTTTAATGCTTTATTCTTTCTTCTCAAGCCACCCTTTGAAATCTTCTGTTCAGCTCTTCTACTCTCCATTCAAGAGCAAATTTCAGAATCTCTTCCAACACTCATTTAGTCTTTTCTTTCTTTCCTGTCTTTTTAATGACCTTTAGCTTTCTTCAAAGAGCTCTAGTGGTGTAGTGGTTAAGGCATTTGGCTGCTAACCAAAGGACTGGCTGTTCAAACTCAGCAGCTGCTCTGCGGAAGAAAGATGAAGCAGTCTGCTGCCATAAAGATTTACAGTCTTGGAAACTGAATGAGGGCTGCTATGAGTCAGAACGGACACAATGGCAGTTGAGTTTGGGTTTTGGTTTAGGTTTCTTCACATAATGGGCTTGATGTCACCCCACAACTTGTCTGGTCTTTGGTCATTAGTGTTCAATGAGTCAAATCTGTTCTTCGGATGCCTCTAAATTCAGGTACAACATACTCAAGGTCATCATCTGGCTCTTGTGGACTTGTTTCAATTTTCTTCGGCTTCAACCTAAACCTGCTATGAGCAGTTTACGGTCTTTCCACAGTCGTCTCCTGGGTTTGTTCTGATGGATGATACTGAAGCATCTCCATCATTTCTTTCCACAGATGTAGCCAGATTTCATTTCTGTGTGTTTTATCCAGCAAGTTTCATGCATATAGTCACTATTTATGTGGTTGAAAAAAATTATTTCCAATGAATAAGTTGTCAGTCTTGCAAAATTCTATCATGTGAGCTCCCATGTCATTCCTATCACCAAGGCCATATTTTCCAATTAATGATCCTTCTTCATTTCTAATTTTCAGATACTTATCATCAGTAATCATCAACGCATCTTAATTGCATGTTTAATCAATTTCAGATTTCAAAAGTCGGTAAAAATCTTCAATTTCTTCATCTCTGGCATTAGTGGCTGGTGCGTAGATTTGATCAAGAGTTGTATTAACTGATCTTCCTTATGGGGATATGGATATTATCCTATCACTGACAGTGTTGTGTACATCAGGACAGATCTTGAAATATTCTTTTTGACAAATGAATGCAATACCAGTTCATTTCAGCTTACTAACATCTAGGATATAGATCTTTATGCATTCCATTTCATTTTTGACAACTTCCAA